CATCCATCCATCCATCCATCCATCCATCCATCCATCCATCCATCCATTATTTTTACCCACATCATGTGTTGACAAAACACTAGTTCATCCCTTGAGTTTGGTAGTTTTCATAGTTACATAGTTTAGTGAACAAAAAGATAAAATGAAAAAGAGTGAGTGAAAAAAAAAATCAGAATTACAATAAAGAAAAAAGAAATATGTGCTCAAGATTACTTTAAAAGTTTATAAGAAAGTCTGTAAGCAAAAGCAAACAAACAAAGAAAAGATTGGAGTCCCAAGACTTTTGCACAGCAGCCTAACTTTACTTCATTACAATAATTAACCGGACGCGCTTCCGTCACTCTCCAACCTGACCGGAAGTGACTTTCCTTTTAAATAAATAAGTTCATAAAACTCTTGCAGGGGTGTTCAGACACTCTGGATTTTATGGGTGAAAGTGACACACTGAGTTTTTGGGCGGCTCACTCTGTGTGACGTCACATTTCCTCCTCGCACACACACTCCTCACACACTCCTGAACTCCTGCGCTCCGTGCGCAAATGACTTTGGCACCGCTGCCATGGACTCCACCGCCACTTTCTGTAACAAATGATCGAAAAAGCAAACATAAAGTCGAACTTTAAGACTTGAGAGGAGCCACAGAACACCACGAGGTGAGATGAGCAGCTTGTAGAAGTCTGAAAAGTGACACAAGAAGAGGGTTTTCTGCGTGTGGATCTGTTGGGGTGAGTAGCAACAGCCGCTGGTAAACTGGAGCTCACTGGAACTTTGGAGAACCAGATGGATGTTTTTAAATGCTTACTGCAGGTCAAATTAAAAACCACACTAACTAATACTAACCAGATGTGATGGAAAGTAACAAAACCTGGACTAAAGTGCAGTTTTGTTCTCTTTTAGTGCATATTTCTATTTCTGTTAAGAGGAAAGCGTCCTGGATTTTAACATTACATGGAGCACAGTGGAGGAAAACCAGTTAAAACCGAGTAAAAGTGGATATTTGTTCAATAAAATGAAAAATAACTTAAAAAACTTATTTTCTCTTGATCTTTCAGTTAGCTGTAGATTTAGTGGATGAATTTGACTATTTTTTCTTTTGCATATTTGTGTGGCTGTGTTTTTACTTGTATTTTTAAATGATTTAGAATCAGCTCTTGTTAGTTTTATTTCTACGCACATTAAGTGCACAGCTCGTTTATGAAGAGTCTTTTTAAACAAACGTGACGTTCCAAATATTCAGAAAATGGTGTTTAGACAAAAACACACAAACAAAATCAGTCTCCATTAATCATGCCATTGTACCGTAAGTGTTGGCATTAGTCAAAGAATTACTGTCATTTCCGTCTTCAGACAACATGTTTCCTGTTTTGTTCTAGCTCCCTCTTAAAACTGAACGTGAATACGATACACTGTATTTTTGAAACAATATAAAATTAGTTTAAAATGGCACAAAGGCACATTAATAAAGTTATAACTTTTATTTCCATCTGTTGGAAGTAAAGTCAAAAACACAATAAATGATGTTCTGTAGGAAATAATTGGAACAGTTAGCTGAAACTTTAGGTTTAGTTGGAATAATAAAAAAAAAACAGCATTCCAGAGCTGAGACTTAACAATCATATAAATTTGCTGGACCTCTAATGAGTCAATTTTGCTGCTTTTAGAGACTTATTTGGGCAATCTTTCTCCAGTTTTTTTTTTTTTTTTCATTCCTTAACAGCTAATGATGCATTAAAGGACAAATGAGATTTTTTGTCCCGTGTCCACTGTGTCCATCGCCTGTAGAAAAAGGCAAGAGGACAGTTATCAACAAACAACTTAATTCAGAAGCAAGTCTAATTGGGATATATTTAGGGCACTTTGGATGTATGAAGGCATCATTAATGCTGATTGAATACAGATGTTTCAGAGCAACAACTGTAGTCCAGATGACTCAGTTCCTCAGAAGGCCTAAATCACATCCTCCACATTTCAAAAGCAGCTGGTCAGGCTGCTGTCCAAACATCTTCCTTATGCAACAGTCAAGGCATCGTCTAGAATAAAAGTTATTATAGCAAAAGGTTAAGAATCAGGTGAAAGCGTATAGAGAACAGGAAAGTGTTCCAGTGAACATTTTCTAATTAAAAATACACTTAAAAGACATGTATACCATTGGTAAATATCCAAACTTAAAGCTAAAACATGTTTTGCACATGTCTAAAACATGTTTTGCACATGTCTAGTTCAACTAAACATTCTCACTTTGTTGAGATTTCACCAGAAAGCAAAAATAAATCACTTGTGAGTCCAGAATCAAATATTTCTGGTTAACCAGTGCGTTTATCAGTTGATCAAATTTAACACAAGTTTGTAAAAATATATTTATGTTAACAAGCATTTTGTATTTTTATACTTCCTTTTTTACATTTACATTTACATTACATTTACATACTTCCAGCTGAACCATAAGTTGGTGCGTTCTTGACTTGTTGGTGATCTAACTGTATATCGTGACTGAAAAGTAGATTAAAAATGTTCTCACTTCAATTTTTTCTATAGAGTCAGTGCTGAAAATCTTGGTTAAGGTTTCAGGGATTTTAACATTTATAATCTTAAGGCATGAATTTTTATACATTATTAACTAATAACAGATAAGATGTTATTTATTTCTATAGGGTAGCCCTCTTCAAAAGCTTTGAACTATACATTAATATTCCAGACTCCTCTTTATGCCTCAGTCTGTCTTGGCTTTAATTTGAGTTCTTACAGACTAGACCTCTGCTGCAGTTATTGTTCGGCTGAGTTTGCACATGTTCAGGTGTGGAGCTGCTTTTCATTTCTCTCCTTCCTGTCAGAACTGACATCATTTTGGTGCGGTAATGATCCCCAGCCAGGAAATACAGAATGGGGTCAATGCAGCTGTTGACACTCGCTAGCAGTCTTGTGATTTTGTAGGTGAAGTTGACGACGTTGAGGAATTCACAGTTAAGATCACGTCATGCGCCGCAGTATGGCAGCACTGATGGGAGCTGCGCTTCGACTCACCCTTTTTTATTCCTGTTATTTTTGTTTTTACATTTTTGCACCTGCACTGCACACATGCATTACGGGTATGACCACAACGCACTTTGGGAGTTTTGTGTAACGCTGCCTTGCCATCGTGCCATCGTGGTTCATTTCCCGTCCCCCTTCCTGCCTCGGACTCAGGCTCCAGCCTGCCATGGCGGCCGTCTCCATGATCCTTCATCTGCCAGCACGAATCAAACTCTATACAGTTCAGTTCTGTGGGGAAACCTTAGATGTTCTGTGTCTCCCAGACCCGGTTCTGGAGGGCAATCATCATCCGTTGTTTGTGGTCGTTATTATCATCATGCTGTTAATGGGACCTCGCTGCTAACAAGACCACACTGCTAATGATTCTAATGGGATCATGTTGCTAACAGAACCCCTCTGCTAATAGGACCATGCTGCTATAGCTGTATTTCTTTTTCACTTTTTGGCGATGTACTTTGTATTTTTTATGCATGCTTTGTTATTGCTTGTTTTTGGCAAGTTCAGATGGTTCATCTTGTCCTGAGCATTTCATTGCATTGTTGACGTTGTGTTCACCTGCGTATGACAATAATCCTAAACCTAAGGTCCAGCACGCGGGTGGTGTAGTAGAGGGTCCTTGTGATGTGGAGTGGGACGAAGCTGACTGCAAACACCACCAACACAATGATGATGAGCTTGATGGACTTCTGGCGTGAGACGGCGCCCTGCTGGATGGAAGATAATCCACGTCTTGGCCGGCACAAAGTCCGCGCCCTCAGACAGTAACACACCAGGATGACAATGAATGAGATCCCAAATGGCAGAAAGAGCTCTAGTCCACATACTCATTAAAGGCATTCTAGTTCATTGTTTTAACAAAATATTAACAAATTAAAAGCTTCAGGCATGCATTTTTATACATTTTTAATTGCTTGTATGAAAATTTGGTGACTCAGTTTCGTAGAGCTGCCTCCTCTCTGTGAGAAGGTCGTTGGATCAATTCCCAGCCAGGGAGCTTTCTGGGTGGAGTTTGCATGTTCTCTCTGTGCATGCGTGAGTTTTCTCCAGGTACTCCGGTTTCCTCCCACAGACCAAAAACATGCATGTTAGGCTGATTGGTAACTCTAAATTATCTCTAGGTGTGAGTGAGAGAGTGAATGGTTGTTTGTTTCGTTTGTCTCTATGAGTCCCTGTGATGGACTGGAGACCTGTCCAAGGTGTCCACCGCCTCTCACACAGTGATGGCTGGATATGGGCTCCAATGACCCCCGCGATCCGAAAAGGAAGAAGCGGTTAAAGATAAGGATATGGATGGATGGAAAATTTAATTAAATAATAAGGGGCTTCAGCAAAGTTGATTCTGTATATACTTGAACATATTTAATACTAAATTAAAATTTTGACCAGAAAAGGTTGAGGATAAAATTAGGGATGCAAGATATTGGCTTTTTGGCTGATATCCGAACCAATACTATTTTTTTTTAATTCGCTAGACTTACTTACAGAGACTACATAGATTTCTCTGCTGTGGAATTAAAATACTACATTATTCTGCATGTTCTTTGTCAGTTTGGCCTGCTACCAAATGCAGATAATAATAATAATGATATGTTATGTATTGTCATCATTGTATGTTCCCATACAATGCCAAAATTGGCTCTCTGCATTTAATCCATCCACCACCAGGTAGCAGCAGCTAATGAAAGTGCCCGGGGAGCAACTAAGGATAGGATGTGCTGCTCAGAGACACCACAAGATGTGCAATGACTGGGAATCGAACCTAGGCCCTTCGGGTCTTGAGTCAGCTGCCCTGCCGCTGCACAATCTCGGATGCCAAAAAGGGGCCTGAAAATGATGTAACACTTCAACTTGGATTATATTTAATGTCAAATTTATTCATGAAGTTTACTCTCTAACACAATGACAACACTTGAACAGTGCAAATTTGTAAATTTTCATAAATCTAAACTCAACATATTTACAAGCGACAAGTGAAACGTGCATAAGAAGTAGTGCATTAATAGATATACTTGACAGTTTCTTAAATTAAAAATCAACTTAAAACAGAAGCCTTTTATATCGGTGAGTTATTTTTATGGAATGGCCGATGTCCGATATTTAACTTTATCACTAATATCGGCCGATACCGATACCATGCTGATAATATCGTGCATCCCTAGTTGAAATAATGCCTTCTGTTCACTGCAATGTAAAGTGTTTCTGGCATTAGTATTTGTATCTTAGCTCCTGCTAGACATAATTTTTGTTTATGTTTTCCTGTTTAGGTTTCTTGGATGTAAGGCCTCATTCAGAAGTCCCACATGGATTCGGTCAACAGCAGCATCAGTTCACTCAACAAACCAGAACTTCACACGTCGATCTTCAACTCCAGCTGTCGCTTTGATGAGGAGTTTAAATACATCCTGCTCCCTGTGTCCTACAGCCTGGTATTTGTGTTCGGCTTTGTGCTCAACTCCGTAGCCTTATGGGTGTTCCTAAAGATGCGCCCGTGGAACCCGAGCATGGTGTTTATGTTCCACCTCGCTCTGTCAGACTTCTTGTACGTTCTCTCTCTGCCCACTCTCATCTACTACTACGCCAACCGCAGTCACTGGCCGTTCGGCGTGGCCGCCTGCAAAGTCGTCCGCTTCCTCTTCTACGCCAACCTCTACTGCAGCATCCTCTTCCTCACCTGTATCAGCGTGCATCGTTACGTTGGTATCTGCCACCCCATCAAGGCGCTGACTCTGGTCAAGTCCCGTCAAGCCCACCTGGTGTGTTGCTTGGTGTGGTGTGCCGTGACGGTGTGCCTGGTGCCCAACCTCATCTTTGTCACCACATCCAGGAGGGACAATGACACTCTGTGCCATGACACAACGAGCCAGAAGGCCTTTAACGAGTATGTGGACTACAGCTCTGTCGTCATGGTGCTGCTGTTTGGGATCCCGTTCATTGTCATCCTGGTGTGTTACTGTCTGATGGCGCGGGCTTTGTGCCGGCCAAGACGGGGATTATCTTCCATCCAGCAGGGCGCCAGCTCACGCCGGAAGTCCATCAAGCTCATCATCGTTGTGTTGGTGGTGTTTGCAGTCAGCTTCGTCCCATTCCACATCACAAGGACCCTCTACTACACCGCCCGCGTGCTGGACCTTAACTGTGAATTCCTCAACGTCGTCAACTTCACCTACAAAATCACAAGACCACTGGCGAGTGTCAACAGCTGCATTGACCCCATTCTGTATTTCCTGGCCGGGGATCATTACCGCACCAAAATGATGTCAGTTCTGACAGGAAGGAGAGAAATGAAAAGCAGCTCCACACCTGAACATGTGCAAACTCAGCCGAACAATAACTGCAACATAGGTCTAGTCTGTAAGAACTCATGATCAAATTAAAGCCAAGACAGACTGAGGCTAAGAGGAGTCTGGAATATTACTGTATAGTTCAAAGCTTTTGTAGAGGGCTGCCATAGAAAAGTTAAGAACAAACAACATCTTATCTGTTGTTGATTGATTTTTGAATAACCTCAGTTTAAAAGCATAGACTTTACCGTAACTCTGCACAAACTGATGAATTATCATCGAGCTGTAGAGAGGTCAAACTCAAAGTGGATTGCTGTTATCGTAAAATAACTTCAAATTCTACAATTTCATGGTGGTTTATGCAAAACGATATTTCATGAACCTTAATAATGATGTCAGTTTTGTATAACGCAGTCATTCTGGTAGAAAAAATATGAAATTCCTTCCTGAAGTGTCTCAAATTGCACTGGAAGTGCTACAGATGGCCATTACTGTGTCTTTTTACAAAAAACAAAAAAAAAACCAGGTTAGGTAAATAATGCGTAACGCTAAAGTTACAGTAGTGTAATCATTTCTAAGGCCCTGTCCACATGGGTATGACGCTTTGTGGGAATGCAAAGGTATTTTATCTCCTCAGCCTTGCATCCACATGGAAACAGTATTTTAGGAGTCCCTGAACGTTTTTGAAACTGGGCTTCAGCTTGAGAAGTCCTTAAACACAATCGTTGCTTTCTTGTGGGGACAGATTAAACACAACCTGAAAATGGTGATGCCATAGTTCTACCTCTAACTCCACAACAATAATGATTATGCTTGCATTTGTTCTGCAGACACCAGATGCTCAACTGCAGCAAAATTGCCATTTACTGTGTGGACAGTATCTTGGCTTAAATGCAGTGAAGCCAAACCTCTTATCATTACACCAAGTAATTTAAGGCCAAAAATGTTTTCATCACTTCACTAAACTGTCAATAAAACCAAAAATAAACGTTGTAGGGGAAAAAGAAAAATAACTACAGGATGTACATTTAAAAATGTCGGAACGGATACAGATTTAAAAACACTTATTTACCAAGCCACGCCTCTGAATATGCACAAAACTGTCCGTTATGTCCACGGATTGGACAGATCTAGTCCCAGTCAATAGTATTTGAAATTGACACAATGTAGAAGTTCCACTTCGCCATCAGTCCACACGAAGGATTTGGTTTTTCCTCTTGCATTTGCCATCCTTGTCTTTTTTCATGTGTTTACAGTTTGGAGTGTTTTCTGGTGTATTTTCATTACATCCAACAAAGTTCAATCAGGTCATCTGGATGTTTTCTTTTTTAGTTTTTTGTTGAGACCTTTCGCCCTTTATCCAAAGGACTTCATCAGGCTGAGGAGACAACAAACTTAGCCCCACAAGCAGCCCACCCACATAGTGGACCAACCAGTTTGCTGGTGATAAGATGGTTTTGATGTTTTGAACCGCTTTGGCCATGGCTGCCTCAGAGGAGTCGACAGAGGAGAGCGAGGACCCCAGAAACCATCTTATCTGGGACTAAGTTTGTTGTGGCTCCTCAGACTGATGAAGTCCTTTGGATGATGGATGAAAGGTCAAAAAAAAAAAAAAAGCCCAGGTGACCTGACTTACCTGGATTATTGAGCATGAACTTTGATATTTTTATTACAGCGCCACACAGCTGTTTAAAGAGCTTTCTGTAACAGGTAAGATATTAACTGCACATCATTGAACTCCACTTTGGTGGCGCCATTGCTTTAAACACTTTAAACGCTTGTGACTAAAACATTCTCATGAACGAGTTGGACATTATAGTAAATGGGTTTGTGTTGTCGTTCTAGATTTCTGTGAAGCTTGTCTTTATGTTTCCGTTCTCCTCGCTGCACCGGGCTGCAGTCATTATGAGAAAAGAGCTGGTTCCTTTTTGTAAATTGTCCTACCACAAATGTATTAGTGCACTATTCTACCCGTAAAAAGAGACAGTATTTACACTTGTGCACATTATATGAAACATACTAGTATAATAATAGTAAATGTGTTAGTATAAAAAGATTTTTTTTAGAAAATAATGCCCATGCAGGCAAAATCAAGACAGTTAATTAAAAGATTTTGCCTTTTGATAAACTCAAATGCCTTTAAGTAGATGATAATAGATGATCCAGTCTGTGAACTTAATGTTTTATTTAACTTGTGATTATGTTTATGAGCAAAACGTGGCAGAAAGTTCGACTGTTGTCAGAGACAACGGGTGAGGCAATCCTTCCTCTTCTATCAGTGTTTGTGTGTTACCCAGAAACAACAGCTGCAACCAGAGCAGCTCCTGATCCCCGGCCAGCTGCTTGTGTCCTTCACCATTCAGCTACAGAAAACAATGAGACAACTACAGAAGCTCTTAACATCCCCAGAAGGAGAATAGACGTTTTTTCCACTGCTTTATGCATGGAGCTTCAAGGTTCTGTCGGCCAGAACTCAAGAGCTGAACCAAGTCCTGCAAAGTTACTGATTGTTACTGAGTCCCTCCTTGGTTTTATGTGATCGTACAAAGTGTCACATTGTATTCTCGTGATATATTCTATGAGCACTATCACTGAAGATGTTTTTGTACTTCACCACGATTCATAAAAGTTTCCCAATGTGATGGTAAAGATGTCAAACTAAAATA